TAGATGAAGAGATTGCTAAATCTAAAAACTTGAAAATTTATACAAGTAATGATAGTTCGTTGAATAATCTTGATTTTGGCTCTTTTTTCTAAAATGTTAAAGGTAAATAAAATTTTATTATTAATTAATTGAAAATTACTATTCATTAATTATTATTACTAACAATATTAATTAATACATTAAATTCTAGTAAAAGAAAAGATGAGATGAATGACTAATTTAATCTCCACTATAAATTTATTATCTTCTTTTTATTTCATCCTTATTTTATTTCTTATCTTGTAACAATATTTTGAAATAATAAACTTTTTACAATTTTTGATTCTTGTTAAATGGTGATATTGTCATTTCGGAGCACACTTGATGGTATTAGATTACTGTAAATAAGTAAAGATGCTCTTTTGCAATGATATAAGGTTCCTTTTATACATTTATGATCGATCTGTTTCAGTTGTTTGTCCTTGTTTACATTTATTGATCAATTTTAAACTCTACTTGCAAAACAACTTAAGTAGCTTGTTTAACAGCCTTGCATTTACGACTAAAATGATACTACTTCATTAACATCTACTAGTTAACCAACATTAGTCCAAACTTTTGCTTACTCACTAAAGCAAATTACGTTACTAATCGTTGTTAGCATTCACTAGTTAATCAAAGTTAACCCTAACCTTGCTTGCTTGCTCCCTAAAGTAAATAAAACGTGGCTTTTCCATGATTGTTACTTTTTACCAAGGTACCAACTACACTTTATCAAAGTGCTTTAAACAAAGTAAATAAAGACAATGTTTTTATTTTTATTTTTAAAAGTTTATTAAATAATGATTATCAGAGTTTTAATTTATTAGAATGTTAATTATCTCTGCAAGTAACTTTTTCAAGAGAAGACCAAAAGTTATCCTTAATGAAATTTTCGTTGATCACTTACAATAAGGATAAGGACAAAGATGGGTCTTTTATTGCAAAGTAATTTAATCAATCTTCATGGTTATTTGCATAGCAATTTGATAATAATTATAAAAGTTGACATAAAATTTTCATAACAATTATATACTGAAATTAGTTGACGGTTTTATCTACTCCGATCATGTATCACGTTATTAATATAAGAGATGTTCGAGTTTAGTAGTAAATGAGTGTATGGGAATTGAACTTTTGTATTCAGCAAAAGAAAAACTTGGCTCCTTGGGAACAACTAATGAAACAAAGGAGATTTGTGAGCTTTTATATTTTATTAGCCTTTAAAGCAATTCACTTGACTTAATGGCAGCGAATTTGATGTAATAAATTTACAATTACAATTATGGCAACATTTCGTCAAACAACATTAGTTCGGAGCATCAAAATTAGCATTGGATACAAAGCACCTTGACATGCTATCATGCATTTATGATCAATGATGCAATTTTTAATAAAATAGACTATTTCATGCATTGATTGATTAGTCTAATAAATTACAAAATCATATATACTGTAAATAGACCCGCTACCCCCCTCAAAATGCAAAAAACGGTGAATTAGTTTGCTTTTTACGTTGCATTAGAATTTGAGGTTGAGGTACGTAATGCTGAAATGGTGTTCTATGTATGATTTGGGTTTGCACTTTACATTCAAATGCGAGGTGACTATATATTCGTTCGAGCATCAACATTAGCCAAGTCATATTTTTATTCGTTGCGTTAAGCAAAAAAATTATTTATTACATGTACAAAGGGAAATTTTTCACGAATTTAATAAATTTACTTTGCAAAGAAGACCCTCATATGAATCAAAAATCATTTATGAATTTCGATTGGGTACTCTCTAGCATTTTCTTGCCATCATAAAAGAGGATCTGTTTCTATATCTATTGGTAAGGCAAGATAGCGATCTAGTCCTGATACTGTTGATGTTGAAGAGATTTGCACCAGCGCATAAAATTTTCTTGTGAAAATTTCGGAAATGTAAAATGATAATAAATATTTACCGGAAAAATGATAATTCTATTGAAAAAACTGGCAAATTAGAGTACCTTTTGTGCGCTGATTTGCAACATTCCACCATGTTGAAGTTGAGTGAAATATTGGCGAGTGTCATTTATAGTAGATATTGATATTCCTATAGTAGATGTTATGGAAGAGCGTTGTTGATATGATTCAAAGATAGTTTGAATGTGTGCACAAGCACTTGGTTTTGATTCTTCTGAAAAAAAAAAGTTTAGGATCTAAAATTACTGAGGTTATTGAAAAACGATCCATGATATTCCAATTTTTTGCTGTTACCTCACATTGTGTAAAATTTTTCTTTCCTTAACATTCATATAGATGCTTCTGGATGTCCCAAAATAAAACGAACATCACCAATGATAGGATGAGATGATGCCGAGAGATGTATAGTGGCCTTTTCTAAAGGCACAAGTACTATGAGAGTATCCTTAATTATAACCCAGTCATTTGTATTCGGATAAAGGTCTCTGAAAGACTTATGGTCTGCAGAGAGTAAAAATAATGCTGGCTGAAATTGTTCCAAATGTTTTAGCATATAATAAGTTGAGTTCCAACGAGTTTTCACATCCAAAATAGGTTTGAGATAATTAATCACACAACCATGAGGTTCATCACAAAGGTGAGTTGAATCTTTAATTTTGATCATTAATTCACGTACTTTATCAATTGAATTACTAACTAAACCAACCCTTGCTTCACACCTAAGTTCAAAACATGTGCCGCACAACGATAATGTGAAAAAGTCTTTGAAAAAATTTTCATTATCAAGTGCATTAGCAATTTCTCTTCCGCACGCCAACATTGCAGATTCATTGTCTGTAGTTAATGCAATAACTTTATCAGCAATGTGGAATTCATTTAAAACACGCAGAATTTCTTGTGCAATGTTTACTCCGGAATGCCTATTAGTAAAAGGGATGATATCAAGAAGGAAATTACAGAGACACCAATTCGAATCTATATAATGTATTGTTAATCCCAAAAAGGCTTCATTGCTTATAAAAGTCCACATATCAGCTGTCAACAAATATCTTCCCTCAATTTGATGAAGTTCATTAATGATTCAATTATCCTGCCTACTGCATCTTTCTTGTATCTGAAAAGCTTCAGCGAATCTGTATGCACACTTTATGGTACAATTTACAATAAATAAAATGTCAAGTGCTTTTCTAAGTTCCTTCTTTATTTACATTTACTACTTCCTTTGGCCGTTTAAAAGCTTTGTTAATTTGGTCTCTTTACAAGACTCCTTAAACTGTTTATTTAACAACCGCATGTTACAACAATCACTTTAACACAATAGAATAACAATAGGTGATAACAACTTGGTTAATAAATGTCTGCACTTTATATTTGATTAATCTATAGCAACCGTTAACACTTTAACACATTATGTTTACACTTAAACGCTTAAACAAAAAACTTGAACCAAAAACCTTTGCTTCTTACTGAGCAAATAATTTTACTACACTATACTGGTTTAACAAAATTCAGAACTTTATAACAAATGGATAATTAAACCTTGCCGTTTAATTTCCGACCACAAAAATGCTTTATTGATAATATTAAACGAAACGAAAATAAATATTTTAACTTGTGAAATGGTTTTTTACAGGATGAAAGAAATAGTTTAATATTTCTGCTTCTACTCTTATGAGCGAGGCTCTGAAATATTAATAAATCGTGAATTAATCAACCGATTGTCTTTTCACTTTGAACTTATTGTTGCTATTATTATTGTCTATATTTTTGTGTACACTCATCAAAAATCACCGGTGATTGATTCTTGCTGCTAATCCACGAAATTATGGCTGTGGACCATCCATTATCCATTATCCATCATTTATTGTTATTACTATCAATCAACATGTTCATTACGAAATCATTGGTGAACATGTAACTACCTACGTAACTGCGTGTTTATCTTTACATCCACTATACGTATTTTTTAATACTGCGTGGACTGCTTATTGTCATGTTATCCACACTGTTAACATGTTCCATCTATACCATTATTTATCATTATTATTATCAATCAACGTGTTTATTACGAAATCATTGGTGAACATGTCTACGTGTTAATTTTTACACCATACGGATTTTTTACACTGCACGGATGCATTTATTGTCATGTCATCCACACTTCCATATTGGTGTTAAC